GATGAAAAAGTATCATCTTTGGATGAAAAAGTATCATCTTTGGATGAAAAAGTATCATCTTTGGATGAAAAAGTATCATCTTTGGATGAAAAAGTATCTTCATTAGCAGGAGTTCAAGTTGATATTAAAGCGTTTATTGATGGTGCTGTTGTAAATATAGCCTCAAATAAGAACGAACTAGCGGAATTAAGAAGAGTTCAAGATCACTTGTTTGAACGCCTCGGAAAAGTTGAGCGTCAATGAGGGACGGACCTTCAAACTGATTTCCAGCTAAATGAGAAACATTCTAAGTTTATAAATTCACCAAATGCATTTGTAATCTTGGTTAATAAAAATGAGAGCTTATGTACCATATGAAATAATTGATAAACGAAAGATTGACAATTCACTCTACGTAATGTATTTACGGTTCGGTTTAGAAAAGTCATTTCAGCCAATCAAGTGTGATGAACCCATTAAAAATATCCGAAAACATAGAGTGATTTATGATGGAAATAAATTAAACTTAGTAGATGGTAGTTCATTTACACGCTATTGTCTTTCGAGGCAGCCTGTGAGAAGAAGAAGAAAGCTTGATGAAATTTCTTAAATAAATGGGAGACGTAATAACAGATGTTCAAAGAGAGGTAATGTCCAATTCCGGAAATATTATTCAGCTGCAGATTGATGTTGATAATATTCGCTATGATATTCACCATCTTTCCACCGAAATAAATCAGATTACAATTCAAGTGAATATATTAGAACAAACATTGAAAAGTATTTTTAGAAATAAAACTTTAAGAAATGCTCTATAAGTGGAAAGACGATAATAAAAATAAACAGAAGAACCATTTTGTATTTCCTTCTCCAAGTTTGAGGTGTCTCGTAATTGGAAGATCGAACTGTGGAAAAACATCATTGCTACTGAAGTTGCTATTGGAGAACTTTATTGATTTCAACAATCTTTTCCTGTATAGCAAGTTAACTCATCAGCCTGAATATAAGTTGTTGAAGGACGCTTTCGATGAGGGATATAATAAATCTCTGAAATCATTGATTTATTTTCTAACGGCAATGGTAATATTGATGAATATCTCGAAACCCTACCTAAAAAACGTGAACAAAAATTTGCTATCGAATATTTTGAGAATACTGCTTCTGTACCTGATCCCAGTGATATAGATCCAGGGATGAAGAATTTATTCATTTTTGATGATACTGCTACGGAAAAGAATCAAAATCCTGCTGATAGTTTTTACACCCGTGGAAGACATAATAACTGTAGTTCAATTTACTTATCCCAAAACTACCACATACTACCAAGACAAACCATTAGAACGAAATCAAATTTATTAATTCTATTCGAGTTACCCTTCATCGATATGAAGAATATTCATAGTGATTACATTGCTTGTGATATGCCCTTTGCAGAGTTTCAAGAACTGTGTAATGAAACGTATAAAGTACCTTATAGCTTTGTGTTGATCAATAAAGATGAGCACCCCAGTTCGGGAAAGTATTTCAAAAATTTGAATCAGTTATATATTCCACAGAAGTATTTTTCAGGTAGCCGCTCTAGGTTATTCTCGGTTAAAGAGTGCAGTAAAATCATGGTAAATGGTCGTTAACTCATGATTCGGGAGTAATTGGTTCATTTTGTTGGGTAAGATTCATGATCGGTACCCTGTTAAGCTGTTTATACAGATTCGGGGGTTATTGTTCGTAATAATATTGAAGGATCAGGGGTAATTGGTTAACTTTGTTGGGCAAGATTTAAGGTAATTGTTCGTAATAATATTGAAGGATCAGGGGTAATTGGTTAACTTTGTTGGGCAAGATTTAAGGTAAATGATTGTGGTAACCTATGATTTAAGCTGTTTAT